CTGACGTAATGCGTTTTTAACCGTCGATGTTCGATAATTCTAATATCGTCTGTGCAGTAAATAACAAAAACGCCGGCGTGGGAATTTTTCACAACGACAAATAATTATTCCATTTTTTTTTTTTTTCAATGCACGACTTTGTTCACCGCGCGATTTATACTCTGAAATGTATACTCGAGTGCGCGTGCACTCGGCCAAGATATCGTTTAAAGAATCTCGCTGAAGAACCGACCGCGCTCTCCCTGGGTTTTCATTCATTTCGCGAGTTGTTAAAAAAAAAATATATATATACATATATATATACACACTGCGTTTATTTTTACGTACTGAGCGTGTATTTATAGAATTTGAAGACAGGTTTGCACGAACTTCCGTCCGACGTTGGTCCGAAGAGTTTGCAACCCTTGAAACGTCCCGACTGTTTTTCTCCCTTAATTGGGTACACTTTCTTTACCATTCTCAGTTAAAAGAATACTATTCTGTCGCTGCAGCTTTGGGCTTCGTAACAAGTGTGCTCGGCGAGTTTTTCAAATTTAAATCCCTCGAGAACGGGGGAGCTCGCTGCGAAATAACGTTCCCCGCTGCTGTCTAGAATTTCCACTTTATCCGATTTACAGAACGTATCCGCGTACATATATCGTTCGTGTATCGTTTCGAATCGTTTGGACACGTTCGAACTGTTTGATGAAATTTTTTTCAAAATGGGTGTCGGTTTCTCCTTCTCTATTTCGGGCTAAAATCGAGCGCGTTTATCGAGTTTTCGACGAGTGCTGTGTAGTTCAGAACAATTGTATTTGTTCTTCGAGACCAAATGTAAACAAATTTTTTGCATAAAATTCCAATTTCATTATTGCCCGTTCACGATTAATTATTATCGCAGGGATTTGCTTTGAGAAAAAGTAAAAAGACTCTTTCGTGATCGTGTCACGTGGCCGTCGAAGACCACCGACGATAAGACAGTTACAAGGCAACGAGGGGGAGGGAACGACAGAAAAAAGCAAACGAACGTAATTTCTAAATCCGAACGCTACGAGACTGGGGGGCTTCGTTGAGCCTTGCATTTTTATGTAACAGACTTGACCGTCGATGCAAACGCAGATATCTCTGCCTCTCCAGGACCTTCTCTCGCCAAACATACTCGCTTGATCATACTCGTCGCGATTCGAACGTCATGTTCCATCACTCCAGTTTTCTTTTCAGGTAGACTGACGTTTTGTAAAAAAAAAAAAAAGACAGGAATGATTTTCATCATTTTCGGAGTTAATTAAGCTAATCTGACAAGCAGCGCGATAATCGAACGTCCTGCAAGCGAACTTATCGTAACACTTTCATCAGACCAAACCAATCTATTTGTTCTACTGTTTTTTATTGTTGCGTTTTTCTACAGCTGAACATACTCCGCTGTTTTTTTATCTACGTTCAGTCTTGAAACATGTCGTCCCGTAATTGATCGGATTCGCCTTGCCGTGTACTCCCTATCGAAAAAATATTTTGGTTTTCGAAGACAAGAACTGCTGTTCTCGCTGTATTTGCAGAGTCGAGTGAAATCTCAATCGGATTTAAAAAAAAAAAAAAATAATCATAATCGAGGTTGATGAAAATTTAGGAACTTTTGCGAAAATATCACATACGTGAGATGTGGTATATATTATTATTTACTTACAATATTATCAAAATTCATAAATTTTCAGATATTTTTGTCTACGTGCAAGCCTACCACTTCCAGCTTAAATATCTTCTAATCTCATCCGACTCTTTTACGCAAAGTATCGAATTTTTATTTTACGCATGTTTAATCTCGTAACGAGACAGCAATTTTGCGCGACAAACACGAACATTGCGATACATTATACAACGTTAAACGTTAGCTTAAGCGTCGATTTGATTGACTTGGCCGAGGAACGTTCCAGGACGATGCTCGAGGGGCTGATTGTCCTGTCGAGGAGGCGTCTTCGCGATTGGATTGCCTTCTGTCTATAGATGTTCGTGGTTTACAAAGTGATCGTCGTCGCGTTAACGGCGAAATGTTGCTTTAACGACGTTCGCCTTTAGATCGAATACGATGATTTTCTATAGAGCGCGCTAGAAACGCGGTTTTAATCGGCGAGGAGAGTGTGCTCGTTACGGTTGGTACATCTGGAGAATTCCGCGAAGCTTGCGGTATCGAGAGTCATTTAATGACGTTTATCTTGAGGTGAGCTCGTGTGGATCATTCGTAATATATTTGCCTTCTTACGCTGTTTAAACGAAGATTAGGGAGTGCTTGGTGTATTTATTTTATTTATTTACCGAGAATCCCTCGTGATGTAGTGACACAGAATTTTCTTTCTTTCTTCAGTCGTTGTAACAGAACATCGTTACAACGTATATTAAAATTCGGAATATCGTTGAAACATATTAAAATTTGTATTCCATGTTAGTGTTGTATAATGTCATTTCGACTTTTACGTGCAAACAAGCAATTGTAAATTTTGCAATGATGGTTGAAATATTTAACGTGCAGATGTATACCTAATGAGGTAAGCTAGTTTATTATTCATTATAAAAATACTAGTGTATAGTTTATTCTAGGCATTCTTGTTTCGACTTCTTTTGACAGTTCAATGTTTCATACATGTGATTAATATCAGATAAATTGAAAGTACTTGAAAGTTAATATTAGGTCTTGGCTTTCAAAATGATTAAAGAGATACCGCGCCATCTTCACCTACTTCCAACGCGTTTCGTATTAACCATCAATCTTCTAAACAACGGTCGCGCAACTTTCCCAAAATCATAAATATCGTTAAAACAATATCCGGCAGACAATGGAAGTCCCGAACCAGCCATGTGCCAACATACATTTCCAAACTTGCCCGGACTTGTGTTCAAACATAAACGCGTTCCGTGGAATATACGCTGTGTTGAAAACAAGTGACTTCCTTCCCACGTTAAATTCTCGTTCCCACAAGTCACGCGACGGCGACAGTGAAAAGCGAAATTAAAACTTCTCCGGTTTGTTCGGACAAACAGCGCGCCGAGTGCAACAATGAACCCATCTCGAATCTCCGTCTACTTGGTTGACAACAATCAGTCATTCTTTCTTTCGCTGATTCTCGGCTCGTGTTTCCGCGTTGCGGGCCCGAACTGTCGGCCGGAATAAAATATATAGAAGTTCCGCTTTAATTCGGCGACGAGGTAGCCAGCGTGTGCGCGACGCTTCATAATATGGCCCTCCATTCAGGATCGACTCGGCTGAATTATGAATGGCGGTCGATAGCTAGAGGGAGGACGCGTACATTGGCCATACGAGTTTCACCTGGGCTATGTGGCCCTCGGAAGAACGTATATGAAAAAGGAACGACTATCGACGCCGGGGTTGCGCCTCTTTTTACCCTTGTTGCTGCGCGCCATCGTTATCCGAGCGATCTACCTCCCCGAGGGGTTTCAATTCGACCGCTCCGCCTTCCAAATATGTAAGCCGACCCTACGCTTAGAAACCGTGATCTCGTACGCGCGTGTGGAAGATGTAAAATCTGCCGATATAAACACGGTGTCAAGTCGACGTCCATATATCAACGACGATGACGATGTGACTGCAGAAAGGTAGTAACGTCGAAGAAGTTGTACAACGTTTTTATCGGCTGCATTTACAGTTCAGTTCCCTCTTTCTGTTTCTTGTCGTTCTTCCAGCGAAGCACTCTTTTATTAACCTCTTGTGCTGGCAACTGGTTCACGGACTATAACGAGTGTACAATAATTCGTCGGTATGATATCACTGGATAGAAATTATTATTAATAAGTAATAAATTTATTATTTGTTTTGCCTGGATTATATTTAAATGTATTTGAAACCGAGAAAATATTACAACTTTGCAAAATTCTCGACGTGCGTGGCACGTCATTCCAGAGTAAGAGGTTAACCCATCCTGCGTTATAGAAATGATAGTGCGAGTTTGCAATACAACGGAGAACACGAGCTTTTTATCTGATACATAATTTGATGTGGAAAGTTATTCAAATCTCTGAAAATGCATTTATTAGATTTCTGTAAGAAATTAGTATGGAGGATCAATGTTGCAATTCCTTTTAATCGATTTATCCTGTTTTTTTTTTTTTTTAATATTTAGTGCTATGAAAGGACTTACTTGATATTTGTTTCATTATTTTACTTTCCACCTAAAGTTCATAAAATGTTCAATTTTATAAAATTTAAAAACATTGATGAATTATTGCTTGGTTCTTGATGAATTAATATTTATCAGTGGATCGTTGAAATATGGATGAGATTTCGTCGGAGATATTTTTATCGCCGTTTATTAAACTTATCTGTTAAATCGTTCTTCAATTTTCTGAATATGCTGATTACCAGAGTGTCTTGATTACGTTGTACTTGGAACGAATTGGAAGTATGCCACGCTTCTTATGCATTCGATTATTTAACCCAATATCTGATTTCGATTTCACTTCGGCGAATTGTATTACTTCAAAGAACCACTTCCACTTCGTAAATATTCACTCCTCTCTTTTTTTTCTCTCTTTTTTTTTTTAATTTTCTAACCAATACTGATAACTTCTTGTCCATTCTCCATTTTACACCTAATCGAATTGCACTATTGAATACAAAGTAATTAAAAAAAAAAAAAAAAAAA